GCTGCTACCTCATAAAGGGCTTGCATTCCAGTTTCCAAAAAAATGGTCATTTCCCTGAGGGCAGAGACTGACTGTTCCTTTCTGCAAATCCAGGCAGGGCCTGGCACATGGTGTGGCACAGAATAGATGGTCAGGAGTGGCCATAAGGTTCTGGGTGACCACACATCAGATTTTACCCCCAGTGAGACAGCACAGCCCACTGAAGCAGAGGTTCAGTCCTAATTGGCATTCTATCTGATTGGCAGGATGAAATGATTCTGATTCACTGATTAAAAATTAGAAAATAACTATTAAATGGGGGCACTTTATAGAGGAAATATCTTCAAACATAAGGCCTACACAGAAGTACAGATGAAGATCCTGGGTAGTACTGGTGCTGGGAGCCACTGACTGGCTTGGTCTGCTGCAAGAGGAGAGGTTGCCCCCCTCTGAATCTGAGTCCTAGGTGGGACTCCCGGCAGAAGGAAAGGGTGTCGTCCTGGGGTCGTCAGCATGGGCTTCTTTCCGTGGCCTGTGAGTCCTATGAAATATTGACGCTGTCTCAGGTGTTCTGTTCTTTTATCATCCTCCGAGGACAGATGCCCAGCCAGCCCCTCAGAGCTTCCCACCCTTCCATGGGGAACACTTGCAAGACCTTTTGTGGGGAGAAACCAGCTAATGACAGCTCTGCTGTTAACCAGCTGTTTGACCTTAATCCCACAGGGCCTCAGTTATTTTGTCTGTAGAACAAGAGAACTGCACTGGATTATTTATTTACTCAAATGCTGTTGAGCCTCTAGCATGTATCAGGGACTGTCCCTGGCATAGGACGACTGGACTGACATGCCCAGGGCTGCGCAGACTGCGTGCTCCTCATGTCTGAGGGAGTGCTAGGGTGGACTGGCAGAGGAGAGACAAGGGGCTCCTGGCCTAACCTGGAGGCCTGAGGGAGAATTAGGCAGGTGGGCGGGGTGGGGCATGGTGAAGAAGGGATGTGAGACCCAGAAGGCAAAGGGGGTGTCAAGCCCTGGAAACTTGGGGAGCACAGGATATGAGCCAGAGTGGAATGTGACCGTGGAGGGGGTGGCGGTGTGTTTGTGAAGCACCTCCACTGCCATTTAAAGAACAGGACAGGAGCACTGGATTTGCATTTTAGAAGATACTCTGAGCTTTCTGGACAAGCAGCAGCACTTATGGGCATACCTGGAGACTGAATTGAGAGCCTTGGGTGATCAGCTGATTCGGATGCGCCTCCCTCCCTCCCTCCCTCTCTCCGCCTCTTTCTTTTTTCTTTTTGAGGCAGGGTCTCACTATGTGACCCAGGCTGGTCTTGAACTCCTGCTTCAGCCTCTTGTGTGCTGAGATGATGTGTGTGCCACCACCATGCCTGGTACATTCCCATTTCAGCCTGAGCAGCAGTGCTGCAGAGGACGATGTGGAGGAGAACTAGGTTAGGGAGTCCTGAGAACTCCTGTAGAGTCCTGTGTAGACTGTACTGCCCTGAAGCCTCTGTGAGTACACACATCCCTGAGGCTTTTCCTTAGTGCAGAACATGGGGGTGTCTGGGGCACTAGCAGGGCGTAGCCCTTGAGCAGCATTATCATACCTGATCGTGTGCTGACTTCCAGCTGGCGTCATACCTCCCTGGCTTCCTTGTTTCCTCACGTCTCCTTTCCTCTCATCTGCAGCAGCCTGAGTGCATTCAGCGTGATGCTGTGATTAGTTCTGTCGCTGTGCTACCTGTTAGATCTGCCTTCCTGTTCCCCTGTATCCATGGCCCAAGCAGAGTCACAGTCACTATCCCATGATGATTTGTTTTCTTGCTGGTCTCTCTACCAGAAACAAAATCTTTTTGGGGCAGAGGGGTCATAGCTTTCTTATCTCTGTCTACATGGACTTGCATAGGCCTGGTCCAAAGTCAGTGTTCAGTGAATGAATGAAAAAATGAATGAGTAGAATTTAACCACTCACACCCTACTCCATTTTAAATTTTTCTCAGTGTATCAGCTGGCTGCTTCTGTGTAACAAATGACCCTGAAATTTAGTCCCTTGAAACAGTGGTTCTCCAGATGTGATCCTGAGACTGAAGTATCATCTAGGATCTTGCTAGAAATGCAAATTCTTGGCGCTTATCACAGACCAACTGGATGCAAAGCTCTGGGGTGAAGCTTACCACTCTTGGTGTTGTTCTCCTTTTTTTAAGACAGGGTCTTGCTCTGTAGCTCAGGCTGGCCTTGAACTCATGATGACCCTCTTGCCTCATCCTCCTGAGTGCTGGAATAACAAGTGTGTGCTACCACCATTTTAAGAAGACCTCCTGTGACCTGTGCTAACTAAGCTTGCCAAGAGTGGGTTTAGAATGGCCATTTGTTTAGCATGCGTTCCAGCCAGCTGGCATCCACTGGTCTCAGCTGGACCCTCAGGTGTGATATCAGCTGTGGTCTTGGTGCTTGTCCTCCTGGCCCAGTCTCATTGGGGCCTCAGCTGGCACTCGAGCTGACATGTGACATGGCTGTCCTCTGGGTGGGCTCCTGTTCTACAGCAGGGAGGGCTTATCCTGAGGTCTTTAGATAAAGGGGTGCACACAAGACTCTCGAGGCCAGGCCTTGGAGAAGCACAACTCTGCATCTGTTCATTCCCTTGGTTACCGTGACTCAGGCAGGTGGCTTTGATGTAAGGCAGGGATGCAGGCCACAGCCTTTGGTGGGAGGAACCACTGGATCAAGTTGGAAAGATCTCTGTGCTGGAGCCCCGTGACTGGGCTCTAGAAAGGTTAGGAAGGCGATAACCTGGTTTCTTCCCAGGACCCGCTAGCAGATACACAGTGCTCTGTCTGATAGTACCTGGGCTCGAGCAAACCCAGTGAGAGCAGCCCAAGGCCCCCATGATGGGAACGGGAGTGTGAGCGAAGAGTCCCAGGAAGGCCTGGGCTGGGCAGGCTCCAGGATGCTTGGCTCATCCTCGCCAGGGAACAAAGGAGAACCTCAAGGGCAGGAGACCCAACTTGATGGCCTGGCTTTCTCTGGCTTCTGAATACCTTGGCTCTAAGGAACACAGCATAAGAGGCACTTGTTCCCATCTGAGTTGGTGACGTGGACATAGAAGCATAGCCTGAGCTTCTTGGAGCCAGGGCCACATGGAAGCAGTGTGCAGACATTCTGGGAGGGCCATGGCAAGGAGTCAGCAGATGCTTTCTCCTGGTGCGGTTCAAGGCCAAGGCCAGCTGTGCCACTGGCTCTACCTGGCAACTCCACAATGCTGCCTTCGATAGCTACAAACTGGCCTTGCTGGAGCGCAGGGCTGGGCCTGTGGGTCGTCTGGAGACACAGACTTTCACAGTGTCGGAGTTGTAGGTGGCCACGGCCGTTCCCACTTGGGAGTCCTGGGGTCTGCCCTGAAGCCGTGTGGAGTAGCAGCAGCTGATTACTCACGGCAGCTTCTGGTTGCAGTGTTGTCTCCATGAGATGTCCTCTTCCAGGCCAAGGCCTTCCCAGGCCTGTACTCTTGTAGCTTGTTTTTGTTTTGTTCCGGTGCAGTGGTATGGAGGATGGAATCCAGGCTACACTTACCACTGAGCTACACCCCCCAGCCCTTTTTATTTATATTTTTCTGTTTTGAAACAGAGTCTTTCTAAATTGCCCAGGCTTGCCTTGAATTCTTTGAATTGCTTGATCCTCCTGCCTCAGCCTCCTGAGTAGCTGGGATTATAGGTGTGTGGCACCACTCCTGATTTCTGTTCTTTATATAGAGTAATAATACTTGTGTTTGCAGAACACTCTGGTTTATGGAGCTCTTCCTAGAGCAGCTGGCACACCTTGCCTGGGGTTAAATCATTCCATGCTCTGTCCTGGGCTGAGTGGAGACTGTAAGAACCACTGTCCTGCTTCGCCAGACAAGGACACTAGGCTGGGGTGCGAAGCCCCTGGCACCGTGCTCAGCTACAGAAGTCCGAGTTCTGAGTGTGAACCATGTGCTCCTGGTGCCGAGTCCCCTCCACCTGAGGATCCTCTCATAGGTGCTTCTTCCTCCCCTGGGCACCGCCCAGGACTCCCCTCGAGGAGGCTGGGCTTGGTTCTTCGTCCCATGTTGGGTGCCAGGCCCACACTCCAGTGTTGCCTCTGTGTCTGGCAGGAGTCTGCATCGCCCTCACGTCCCCCAGGCCAGCGCTGTCTGGGCGCAGCCGCGCGGAGGGCCGCGGCCTTGTGGTGTGGCGGCGGAGATGAGCGTTCAGAGAGCGCTGGAGTAGCACTCAGCTGACAACAGCCTTTCGTTATGAACATCACCTAAACGCTCCGGGTGTTACAGTCCCACCGGGTCACACTGTTCACCCAGACCCTCTTCCCGCTCACTGAGGAGCCAGTTCTGGGACGGGTCTACAGGTCCTTCGCTCCCTGTTCCCAGAGAGGGGACTGAGACGGGTTGTGAGCCACGTTCCGGAGACCTAGAGCAAATCGTAGTTACAACGGGGAGTGGCCAAGAGGGCTGATTTCCTGTTCATTATGAATAAGAAACTTACTCTGTTCATTTGTTTTGAATAAAGTAGGAGGGAGGATCCAAGATTCTGGACACCCGTGTCAGCTTACCAGTGAGAGAGAAGTTGTATCGAAGACCTCAGGCGGTATTTTAAAGTGTATTCAGGATACTGCATGGCTGGCACACGAAGCACATTCTCCAGGCAGCTTTGGGAACATTTCCTTCCAGGATGAACACCTGGGGCCCTGGGACCCTGCCGTGCCTTGTGTATGCGCCTCTGCCTGGCCCAGCTGCCAGCAAAGCCTGGGCACTCAGAGCCGCTTCCAGGTGGGGAGCCGGGTCCTTGGGTCCTTGCTGCCCCTGCCAGCTTCCTCGTTCTCCCTGAATGCCACCACAGGGAGGCTGAGTACTTTGTCTTTGCACCCTCTGGGGGGTCAAGGATGACCATCGAAGTCCCCTGAAGTGCCTTTTTGTAGGGGCACTGTGCCCTAACCAGGGCCATCCTTGACTCTCCCTGCCTCTTAACAGTGCCTTTCCTGTCTGTGCAGGAGTGTCGCTGGGTGCGTGTGCAGCAGGGACGGACGAGCCAGGCCCCGAGGGCCTCACCTCCACCTCCCTGCTGGACTTCCTGCTGCCCACCGGCCTGGAGCCACTGGACGCGGAAGAGCCCAGTGAGGCCATGGGCCTAGGGGCTGGCCTGGGTGCCCCTGGCTCAGGGTTCCCCAGCGAGGAGAGTGAGGAGTCCCGCATCCTGCAGCCACCGCAGTACTTCTGGGAGGAGGAGGAGGAGCTGAACGAGTCCAGTCTGGACCTGGGACCCACCGCAGGTATCTCTGCTCCCCACCACCCAGTGGAACCGATGGCCAGCAGAGTGGGAGGCAGGCAATTGAGCAAGGGTGCCAACTGTGGCCACTGGAATCCTCTCCGACTTCCTACCACACTGCTGCTCTCCTGAATGCCAAAGCAAGTTTCTGGGACTACTGGGGCTCTTTGACATTAACTGTTGTTTAGTGAGCTCTAGTCTGTGCTCTTTTGTTTTGTTTTGTTTTGTTTTTTGAAATAGGGTTTCACTATATAATTCAGGCTGGCCTCGAACTCATGGTGATCCTCCTGCCTCAGCCTCCTGAGTGCTGGGATTACAGGCATGCACCACCATGCCCAGCTGGTGCTCATTTAATTTATTAAAATGTTCGTGATCTGAGAGATATTAATCCCATTCCCATTTTAGAGATGAGAAAACTAAAGCCCAGAGATGTTAAAAGCTTGCCTAAACTCACACAGCCACTCAGCTGTCCACATCTGACCAGATTTGGGTTAGGGTTTCCCTGCTGCTCTGTACTGTCTCTCAGAGCTCCCTCGGTGCTCCCACGGGGTCGACAGATCCTTGTCCCTGGGTCTGTCTGGCCCTGGTCTAGGCAAGATGACGGCCTTGGGTCACACACCACAGCTGGTGTACATTTGGTCCCAAAGCAAACCTGGAATAGGGCACTGGGTGGCCACGCACAGCCCAGGGCTGGCGACTTGTGCAGAGCACAGTGGTGGAGCTTCTGACCACCACAGCTATGTGGTGTCCTTGGCCAGTGGGGCCATTTTTCAGGGCCAGGCTCGTACCGTGCGTGCAGAGTCAACCGTGATGCCTTATTTGTTTGTTTGTTTATTTTGGTTTTTTGAGACAGAATCTCCCTATGTAGCCCAGGCTGGCTTTGAACTCACAGTAATCTTCCTGCCTCAGTTTCGTGAGTGCTGGGGTTACAGATGTGTGCCTGGCCTCCCTCACTCTCTCTCACTCTCTCTCTCTCTCTCTCTCTCTCTCTCTATATATATATATATATATATATATATATATATATATATACTTTTATACTTAGTACTGGATTTATTTCCTTTAATTACAAAAAGAACACATGAACATTGTAGGAAATCTGAAAAATACAAAAGTAATATGAAGAAGAAAATAAAAACCACCCCATAATTCAATAAGTGGAAGATAATTGCTACTTATAGGTTAGGGTCAGTGCTTCTAGTCACTGTTACATGCAAAGCTGGAATTGTACAGGCTGTTTTCACTCAAAATGTATTTCCATGCCATTAAACACCCTTTTATCACCTGGCTACAGCTATACCCTGTTTGGTCCTGTGGGCCGTCAGACGTGTTACACCCCTTCCCTGTTTAATACTGCGGTAGTTTCAGGCTTAATACTGCTGCAGATACTTTTATACCTTCTATACTTCCCTGGCTGTTTCCATAGAATGTGTTTCTAAAATACAGCTGCTAGGTTAGCTCTCCCCAAAAGGCCACAGAAGACACAAATGAGGGTCCTGTGCAAGCCGTGATTCCCAGAGTCGGATGGGGTGCAGGCAGAGCCTGGCCACGGGGGAGTGAGCTCCACACAAAGGGGCAGTGAGGTGGCCCCGCAGGAGGAGAGCTCCTCATGCCCACCAGGGTCCCCTCTGTGTGGTCCTCATTGTCCCTTCCCCTGCACCCCTGGAGGGGTCCTGTGGAGCCATCTGCGGGTTCAGCCATAGGCAGAGAGGTGTGGAGGGCACTCAGGACGTCTGGCTCAGGGCACACCCTCTTTGGATGTTCTGTTCTAGTCTGTCTATGTTATACTCTCTGTATAGTCTGTCTCATGTATTGACTATCTACTCTGTGTCTGCAGAGATCTATGAAATGACTGTTTCTAGTTCTTCCTTCTGATTTGAAGCACAGTATAATGAGGGGAGGCGGTGCCTTCAGGCAGGCTCCAGTTCCATTGCTGTTGTCTGATGAGCAGAGTGGTTTGTGCAAGTGATTGTTCTTTTAAAATGAGTTTAAATGTTATATGTGGGTTTCTTTTTTTTTTTTTTTGTCTTTTGGGACAAGGTCTCACTATGCAGTTCAGGCTGGCCTTGAGCTCACTTATGTAGCCTAGGCTGGTCTTGAACTTGCAACAATCCTCCTGCCTCACCTTCCCAAGTGCTGGGATTACAGGTGTGTGCCACCACACCCAGCCTGGGTTTCTTTCCTTTAGGTTTAGAGAACTCTTTCCTGAAATATATGCTTCTTTATTCCTTTTACTCTTTGTGTATGTGGTACTGCAGGTTGAATCTAGGACCTTTGCAATGAGCTAGGTCTTTAGTCCTTTTAATTAATTAATTATATTAATTAATTATATTTTGAGACAGGGTCTTGCTAAATTGTCCAGGCTGAATTTGAGTTTCTAATGCTCCTGCCTCAGCCTCCCTGAGTATTGAGATTATAGGTCTGCATCATGCCACCTGGCTTCCTTCCATTTCTTTTCAGTTTAATAGTTCACATTTAACTCTAATCTAGCCATATCTTGTTTTGGTATGTGGAGTGAGGTAGGGACCTCATTTTATTTTCTGTATGGACAACATACTGCCACACATACAGACGTACCTGTCCCTTGGTCACCGGGAAGGAATGGCCTTTCTACCTTGCACTGCACAGTCCCAGGCTCTCAGGTCCTCTCTGACCTCGTGCTTTGTGGCCCAGAGAGCCCAGTTGATGATAGGACCTTTCTCCTGGACACAAGCCCTGCTGAGCTCAGATCCACGTCCCTCCTCTTCCCTTGATCTCCCTGGGTTTCTAGTGATAACAATCTCCATCCTTCACTGCATCTCCATCTGTTCTCACTGCAAACTCATGTGGCTGCCAGCTTCCCCACTACTGTGCAGTACCCAAGTCGGGACTCATGGAGAAGAGAGGTGCGCATAGCTCAGTCCTAGAGCTTCCTGTCCCAGCGCTGATAGCCACTTTGCTCTGGGCCTCTGTCAGGGGCAGCACTCAAGTGGGGTGGTTGTGCATGGAGAGCTAACATCATGACCCAGAGTAAAAAGTGGGGAAGAAGCTCTGGTCGCTAAAATCTCCCTTAGAGTGAGGCTTCCAATGACTTAATGGTCTCTGCAGGGGGTGGCCACGCCCCATTGACCCCAGAACCTCCCAAACGCTCCCCCAATCCCAAGAGCACAACCCGGGCACCAGGCCTTTTAACAAACAACATTGAGTGGACGGTCAGCATCTAAAAACAGCACAATAGAAGTCCATATTGTCCTTCCCAGGGGACACCTGAGGCTTAGGGAGCTGGATGGCAACCCAGCTGCAAGTATGGGACCAGAGTGTCCACTTCCGTAACCTTTGCTCCTTGTCACTTGCCTGGCTGCTCAGCGGTGTCAGCAGAGACAGTGCTGAGGCTTATATTTTGCACAAACTTATATTTTTCATCACCATGGAATTTCCTGTCGGCTCAGTTCACCGGAACCTCATGGGCACTCTAGGAGGCCAGCAAGGCCTCGGTTATTCTCTGCCTGACAGAGGTGACGGGTGCCACAGCCTTAACACTCTGCCCCAGGTCACGGAGCTTGGGCAGCAGAGCCGGTGGTCCAGGGTCAGCATCTCTGGGCAGAGGTGTCAAGGCCTAGTTCTTGTATAGTGAGCAGGAGGATGGCATGTGCCAGAGAGAAGCTGGTCCATTTGTTACCAGGGCCCTGTGCTGCATCTGATGGACCCAGCTAGTACCATTCTTGTCCGATAGCAGTGTCCCTATGACCCAGGGACCAGCTGTGCAGTTTCCACTTGGCCAATACTGAGCAGATGGCCCTGTGCTCCTGGCTTCCATCTCCTCACCTGACATTGGTCATGACCGGCATGAGTCTTTCCAGAAGAGGTGCTGCATCAGCGTGGGGACAAAGACATGGAATGTGAAGGGACCACTGCTTCACAGACAGCACGAGGCGGGGTTCACGCCGGCCAGTCACTCTGCAGGATGCTGGGTGACTAAGAGTAGTCTCTGCCTGCTGCTTCTCTGTCCCACGCTGTGCTTTCTGTTTCCATAACAGAAGACCACAGGCCGGGTTAATCATGGGGCACAGAGTGTACCCACTTCGCAGTCCTCAGGGCTGGCAAGTCCAGGATCTGTAGTCAACCTTCAGGCTACGTGGTCTTGCAGGGACCTGGTCACTTTTTAAAGACCCACCTTTTTCATGCTATTGCAATGACAATTACATTTCTCCCTTTCCTTTTTTTCATTTTTGTTTTTGAGGCAGGGGTTTCACTCTTACCCAGGCTGGTCTCAAATTCCTAGGCTCAAGCAATCCTCCTGCCTCAGCCTCACAAGTAACTGGGACACACCAGGTTGCCCAGCTGATGACAGTTAAATTCCAACAGGAGTTTCACTGGGGACATTTGAACCACAGCACATCCCCAGGCTGTCACTGCTGTCACCCCCTGCCCTTCTTGTTTTCCAGACTCCTTACAAAATGGTCTCTGCCTGCAGTTTCAAGGTTGCCATTGGAAAAGCTGCAAGTTCTGCTAGAGACAAGGCAGGCAGCTCTGGGAGGCTGGAAGCCCAGGAGTCTCGTTCAGAGAGGCTCACGGGCTGCGGGCCAGGGGTCAGCTCAGGAGCTGGTGTCCAGGGACCAGTTTCCAGCTCCTGCACCTGGCTCCAGGTGGCCGGCCTGGGCTGCTAGACCTGCCTTCTCACCCTGCTCTCCTTTGCCGGCTTCACTGGGGGCAGGTGGTTGTGGGCGGCGGTGTCCAAGACTTTCCCTCTCACCCAGCAGCAGGAGAGCACCACGTTCCTGTGCGCGGGAGGAGACTCAGGTTGGAGTAACTTGGGTCTGAGCCCATCTCTGCACCCGCCCCGACGCCCTGGGGAGCGAGACCTGCAGGTGGGACCCTTGGCTTCTGTCCCCCAGAGGAGACTTGCAGTGCCACCAGCAGGAAGAGGGAGTGAGATGAGAGTGGCGCCAACAGCGCTGCATGTCATTAATGTGCAACGTATAAATTTAAAAAAAGAAGGAAGGAAAAAGAAATGTAAACTAAGCA